CTTATGAGATGAGGAGGAGTGAGGGATTTCTGTGTGCACCCACCAAGGAAGGCCACGTGAGGATACGACCCGACAGAGGGCCCTCAGCGTGAACCTTGCCATGCTGGTACTCTGACCTTGTACCTCCAGAGCTGTGAGAAGTAAGTTTCTGTTGTGTACACCACCCAGTCTACGGTATCCTATTACAGCAGCCTGAACTAAGACAGGCTTAGAGGCTTAATCAGATTCAGGTTGGATGTTTGGGGGCAGAAATACCATAGAGTGGTGATGTGTGTTCCTGATGAGTCAGATCAGAGGGCAAATAATGTCTAGTGGTGTCTTTTCTTGTGATGCTAAAACTGACTTGTGAGAGGTTCCAATTCCAAGTCAGATGCAGCAATCACACCGCACCCTGCCTCTCCCTCTGCACGCAGCTAAGGAAAACCTGGACAGAATACATGAAGCAGCTATTTTTAAATTCTGAGAAGTAAACTGGAGCAGGCCAGATGGGGAAGAAGACCAAAACATGAACTATTACTGGTGGTAAGTTTACCTTCTTTTCCCCCTCTCAGAGTTCCAGGAAAGGGGCAAACATCAGAGAGATCATAGAGAGACAGGGACTCAGGAAGGCAACTCCATAAAGTTTGCTCTTCGACTCCTAGGCTGATCCCCAGGCTGCACATGTGTGGATCTGGACCTAATCAGCACAACAAAGATGCTGAGAACCAGACTAACGGGGAGGTGCACACACAGGACAGATCAAACAGCACTGCAAAAATAGTCTGAAAACTGCTGCAACCACTCCACAGAGGGCTGCTAGGATCTTGTGGCTTGGACTCAACAGGGTCATTTGTTCACTGAAACAAAAATATAAACCTTCTCTGGGGGATTTAAACAGAACCCACAGTGCCAGACATAATCATGAAGATAAGCAGAACATAATCCAAAATTACTTGGCATAAGAAAAAACAGGAAAATCTCAGCTCTCGTGGGAAAAGATAATCAACAAACACCAACACCAAGATAAGGCAGATGTTGGAATTTTGTGACAAAGACTTCAAAGCAGCTCTCATACAAATACTCCAACAAGCAATCACAAACACTCTCGAAACAAACGGAAAATAGAAAGTCTCAGAAAAAAGAACAAAACTCCAAAAACCCCCCACAAGATATAAAGAAGAACCAAGAGGGGATTTTAGACCTGAGACATATAGAAACCAAAATAAAAAAGAACCACACTGTATGGGCTGGAGAGCAGACTGCAGATGATAGAGGAAAAAGTAAACCTAACAAAAGATTAACAGAAATTATCCAATATGGGCAATAAAAAGAAAAAAATTAATTCAAAAATGAACAGAGCTTCAGAGACCTAAAATTGTTACCAGAAACCTGTAAGAAAAAGAGAAAGAGGATTGTAAATCAACTCGACTTCAATAAAACAGAGAGAGAGAGAAGACTGGCTGAAAATGTACTAAATATGGTAAAAGACAAAAACCTACAGATCAAAGAGAACCCTAAACAAGATAAACTCAAAGAAATTCCCATATCCAGACACTATCATCTAACTGCTGAAAACTAAAGACAAAAAAATAACCTTCAAAGCAGCCAGAGAAAAACGATGCATTCTCTAAGGGAAAACAATTAAAATAACTGCAAACTTTTTCACTGGCAACAAGAAAAGCCAGGAGGAAGTGGCACATTTTTAAAGTGTTTTAAAGAAAAGAACTGTCACCTCCAAATTCTACGTGCAGTAAAAATATCCTTCACGAATGAGGGTGAAATCAAGACATTCTCAGATGAAGGAAAACTAAGAGAGTTTGTTGCCAGCAGACCTGCTTTAAAAGAGTCGCTAAAGGAAGTCCTGCAGACGGGAGAATGATACCAGAAGGAAACTTGGAACATCCGGAATGAAGGAAGAGCTACCAAAATGGTAAATATCTGGGTAAATAGAATTGACTGTTCTTGTCCTCTGGAGTACCTTAAAATATATTTGAAAAGTTAAAGCGAAATTTAAAACATTTTGGGGGCTTTTAACACGAGCAGATGTACCAAGACAGCTATCACGTAAAGAGATCCACAGGCCGACAAGGTTTCTAAAATCCACTTGAAGTGGTGCCGTATTGATTGAAAGCTGTCTGTGAGAAGACTGACTGCTGGTTTCAGGAGCCTGATACACCCATCACAAAGCTTCCTATCAATTTTCCATCTAATGGATTTAGCCGCCATTGATGATCCAGTTCTTCACTAGAGGTTACAAAACAGGCAGGCTCTCACAGTCTCATTCTTTCGTTAGCTGGTATTCTTCAATAAAAAAGAACTTTCTCAAGTCAGCTATTTAATTATGCAGAAGTGCAATTCATATATGAATGGGAGGGTAAGTGCCTGATTCTTTCTTGTTGTTTACCAGCTTTCAAAACAGCGAGTTAGCACCACTCTTTTCAAGCGGCAGATATGCCAGAGGAAAATGCTGGCTTAATCCCCACTGACCTAATTTAGAATGGCTGTAATTTACTCGTTTAGACAATTGAAGACCAATATCCAAGCATTTACATCGCACAGGATCTGTAATTATGGCAGCGAGTACCTGGGATGGCACAATCATTTAGAGGTACAGACTGTGACACATCACACCTGCTTTTCCTGCCCCGGATTACTCTCTAGCCAGTATGGATGATGGTCTATATAAAACTCTCCCCTTACGTGATAAGATCCCCTGGACAGCAGGAAGCTGAGACCAAGCTGATAAACACAAAAGGATGAAATGAAATACAGGCAAACCTCACCTACTGTGCTTCACTTTATCGCACTTGGAAGATATTGTGGGGTTTTTTTGCTTACAAATCGAAGGTCTGTGGCAACCCTGCCTCAAGCAAGTCTTTCAGCACCACTTTTGCAAAAGGATTTGCTCATTTTGTGCTTCTGTGTCACATTTCGGTAACTCAAACTTTTTTTATTATTGTTATACTTGTTATAGTGATGGGTAACTAGTGATCTTTGATGTTACTATTGTAACTGTTTTTTTGTTTTTTGTTTTTAAATTAAGGTATGTACATTGCTTTTTTTCAGATAGAATGTGACTGCATACTTAACAGACTACAGCATAGTGTGAATATAACTTTTATATGCACTGGGAAACCAAAAAATTCAAGGGACTTGCTTTATTGCAATGCTAACTATATTGTGGTGTTCTGGAGCCAAGCACGGAGTATCTCAGAGGTATGCTTGTCAGTACATCTTTAGCCATCCAAAGCCAAAGGCAAAATCCTAATAAATATGGTCTTTCCCTTAATCACTCAGTTTTGTTTGTTTGTACATTTTTAAGGTCACTTACTCTGGCCAGCCACTATACTGAGCACTTTCCAGATATTATCTAAATCTCACAACAAACCCAGAAAGCAGGCTGTCAGCACCCCCATTTTAAAGAAAACCATGATGTAAGGAGATTATGTAAGATGCCCCAGACTCACACTTCCCCAGGGCAGAACACAAATTTGAGGCCAGACCCCAGCTCCAGAGTCAGACCCCTACCCTGTCAGTGATGTGCCTCCTCCCTGCTGCGGTGGGTTTCAGCCACGCTAGCAACTGCTCAACAGTCTAGCTGCTCTGCTGTTATCTCTGCTATTTGAGACCCAGAAGATGAAATACGGCAAGAGAAGAAGGCACAGGGGAGAGTTATAAACTCCCCAGGTCCCTCCTGGGAGGGTGTAACAGTGAGTGTTCCCTGGAAAGACATAAAGAACACGGGAGACAGTCACCCTCCTCTTCAGGGACTTAAAATAGAACCAACAGGGTAAGGGAAAATCAATTTATCAAAACAATCAGTGAAGTCATAACAACTTTTGTTTTGGAAAAAAAAATTAGTAACATGAGAAAATGGTCACAATAAAGAAGACATTGCAATTAAGCACACTAGAGGGGGGAGAGAGAGAGAGGAGACAGACAGAGATGGGGTGGGGCGGATGACTTGTCACAAAATAGCCCACATATTAACAATGTTTCCTTTAAGGCAGTTTTGTTTTCCTCTTTATACTTTTCTACATTTTGCAAGTTCTTTACAATAATCAGAAGGAAAAAAGGGTATTAAAATATATAAGTGCAGAGAGTAAAAGTGTAAATGTGCCCAGAGCCAACTACAGTTAGGAGGGCTCCAGCTATCTAAACATGTAAGGGGAAAGGCAAGAGGATAAACAGTGAGCAGTGACCAGAAGGACCAGCAGCAGGTACAAAGCAAATTGCTGCAGGAGCTGGAACAGTATAAATGTTGGGAAAGGGACACCTGAAGATGACTGAGGCTGCTGAGTGAGAATCTGGACCCAGAGATGCTGACAAGGAAGGGCCTAGAGGTATCCAGGCCAAGGGAGAGAAGTGAGCTTCCACACCAAGACTGCTGCTAAGAGGTAAGTAGGGCAGAGAGAACAGGAGGAGGTGTATGTGTGTCTGTGTAATGATACCATGGAATATTATACAGCAGGTAAAAGGAATCGGGGTGGTCACAAGTAAAGGAAAACTTTAGCTTTCTACACTGTTTGGATGTTTTCCCAAGAGCATATTCTTATAGTATGTATACAATTAATATATAAACATTTCTTAAAAAATGAATTCAAAGTGAGAAGGAAAGCAATCACTTAAACATGGGATGTTGAGTCAGAGAGTCAATCAGATGAGTATCTGAACGAGTCTAGAAAAGGCTCTGCTACTGATGAGCTGTGTGTTGCTGGATGAGTTCACTGACCTCTCTGTACTTCAGAGTCCTTATCTGCCAATGGGGAAAACACATCTGCATCTGCAGAGCTATTGTCAGAACTGAAAATGAAGCATGCCCCAGGCCCGGTGCACTTGGCAGTCTCTGATAAACGGGAGCTGAGCATTTGCACATCCACACAAGAAACAAGTGGTAACAAATAGATTCCAGGTAATGACAGAAAACGCCATAGTCCATGGGTGTAAGAAGCACAAAGATGAGCAGGCCAGTATGGCGGGAACGAACAGGGGAGTGTGGTACCCAAGCCCCCAGCACTTACTGCAATTCTCCTCATCGCTGCCGTCGGGACAGTCCTCAAACCCGTTACACCGGAAGCGGCCAATGATGCAGTGGATGCCGCTGGCACAGGGGAAGAAGGTCGGGCCACACTTCGATTTAGCCTTGGCTGCAGGAGGACAAACAAGACAAGCAGTGAGACGTCAGGAGGATACGGCTTCTGACCCCTGCATCCCCGTCCCGCTAACTCAGAGTTGTGCAGTGGAATCCTTTTACATCTACCTTGAAGTCCCCAAGGTTTCTTACCACTACCACCCACCTCCAGGACCCAGCCAGATGGGAAGCCCACATGCATCACCCTCTAGGAAGGGAGTGGCGAGTCACTGTTCAAAGGTCCCAAAGCGGCCAAACACAGCCCCAACACCAGCAGGGGTCAATCAAAATGTGCCAAATAGAGGAATGAATGGGTGAGCAGATGGTTGACGGATGGAGCTTGCTCTTAAGGTGCTGAAGAACCACTCAAAATTCATACCCTGACTGTCAAAGTAATTCTCTACATTTGATGAGTGTTTACTAACTAGACGGTGTGCCCAGTGCTCTACAGCATCTCACTGAACCCACCCAGCAGTCACCCTCTGGGATGATGAGCAGAAAAGAGCTATTAACCTAAGAGGCCTGAGGCTGCTATCTTTAGAAAGGCTTGTTTGCAAAGCTGGACCTGGCTTGGATCCCTGCATCTGGGGTCTTGGATCTCAGGAAGGTCTGCGCCATTGTCTCATGAGAATAGCTCACTGTGCCTAAAGTATTCATGCAAGCAGTGCATGTATGCTGAACACCCGCCTTTCTTCTGTGGGCTTGGGATTTTGGTACATCTTAGGCAGAGGGTGCCTGTGTGATCAGCCCTGAGTAAAAAGCCTGGGCACTGAGTCTCCAAAGAGCTTCGCTGGTAGAAAACATTTCACAGGTGACGCCACACCCGTTGCTGGGGGAAATCAAGTGCCCGCTGTGTGCGCGCACGGGGAGAGGGCTCTGGAAGCCTGGGCTCGGTTCCTCTGACTTCACTCCTCCACCTCCTCCCTTTAGGGGTTTTGCTTTGTATCCTTTTGCTGTAATAAATCTCAGCCGAGGGTCTGACTGTATGCTGACTTCTATGAACCTTTCCAGTAAATCACTGAAACTGGAGGTGGTCTCGGGGTGGAGGGGGGGCGACAAAGATGGCTGTGGTTCTTCACCCCATTTCACAGAAGTGCTTTGAAGAGGTGAAGCGACTTGCCCAGGATTACACAGCTAGAAAATCTGCTGCTGGGGTGAGGCCCCCGACACTCAGTCCAGAAGCCACATTCTCAACCAACTGAACTGTGTTGCCCCTCTGCCAGAGGCTGTCACTTCTCACAACAGAAGTCAGACTCCTGCTCGAAGAAATCCTTCTTCCACTCCTGCTATACAAACAGTTTTAACAGAAACTGCTGTAACTCAGACTTGATGGACGGTCCTGTTACCCACACCGCCCTGTGGGGTAATGTACTTTCCCGCTAATGGTGCGGCTGCCCTGGTTTGTGATTACAAGGTGAGACCAGATCTACGGCTGCACCTCAGGTACCAGGCCCCACCAGGCATCCCTCTTATCTCCTGTCTTAGGGGCAGGACCCATGTTCCTCAAGGAGGAAGGACCATTTGGGGGGAAGAAATCGGCAGTAAATTACCTTCATGTTTCTACCATCAGTAACATACCAATTTGGCAGCAGGCTGACACACAATCAACAGTTTTAAGGGCTGGGATATGCCTAGGTTTTAAAAATCCATGAGGCTTTGCTTTAACCTGAAATTTCTGTAATGGTGCTGGTGTGCTCTTCACAAAGCACAAACTTGGGAGAGAGTGTCCTAGGTTCAAATTGTGGCTCTGTGGGCAAGTTTCTAAATATTACTGAGCCTCAGTTTCCTCATCGGTAAACTGGAGGTAATATCTACCTCACGGCTCTAGAAGGGATTCAGTGTGAAATCTACATAAAATGCCTAGCACAGAGCATGGTATACAGCAGATGCTCAGTTAATGGTAAAGCTTATCCTATTTATCATCATCATCACCAGGGGCTTGTAGAATTTTAAAATTGATCCTTGGGCTACTAAATATTTTTTCCTGGTTACCAAAGTTTAAAAAGCTCATTGTGGAAGATCTCTATGAACTGATATGAAGTGAGCCCCAGAAGATACTGTTAAGTGAAAAAAGCAAAATGCAAAAGAGTATCTACGGTACTTTACCCCTCCATATAGTAAAACAAGGGAATCTAAGAAAACACACGTATTGGGTCATCTGTGCAAAGGAAACAGAGGAAGAATGAACCAGAAACCAAAGAGACCATTTACCTACAGGGAGTAGGTGGGAAAGGGTTAAAAAGAATGGAGAGACAGGAATGGAACAGGATAGCAGGGATGAGAAGGGTGCACACTTGTCTGAATCCATCTGTAGAGCTCTGACTCTTAGAACCATAATGATATTCCACATACCCCAAATGTCAACAGTGAAAACCAACTGCATGCGTGTGCTGGGGCAGGCGGGGTGAGGGGGACTCGAAATGAAATATCAACAGCAACAAGTGAACATAACGGTAGTACAGACGAATGGCAGCACCTCACTGGAGAAGCTGGGGAAGAAAAGGAGCCTCAGGAACTCTGGAAAGCATTTGCCTGGATTCTATGAAGCTAAAGGAAAAGAGACTTGTCTACAAACACTCAAGTTATAACTGTTTCTCACAGGGGTATGAATCAGTAATTCTGAAACCCCCTTTTGTGTTTATACTAGGACTGAACAAATTAGTAAGCATAGCACAGAGAATAAGAGCAAGGTTTCTCATTATCAGAGGAAGGAATTACAAATAAGAAAAGTGAGGAAACTGAGAAGATCAAAATGAATCCTGAGGCTTTGGACTGGAATTGAAGGCATCAGTATGAAGTCAAGGTTTATAAAGATAGATAGATAGATAGACAGATAGATAAAGAGGCAGAAAGAAATACAGGTCTGTGTGTGTGTGCATGGGTTAGTGTGCATACATACATTTCCTAGCTCCATCTGCTAAGAAGGATGAGAAGCAATACACCCTAATAGCAGTGAGCACAGGCAGCACTCAGATCTTGGTTTCTAAACACCATTATCCAATAAAGAGGACCAGGGCTCCTTGGAGAAGTGACTGACTTCGGGGGAAAATACAAGATGAACCTGGAGTACCTTGTGTTGCCAGAAGAAAGTAAAGAAGGGCCCAAAATATGATGGAGGTGTGTCAAAAGGACACAGGAGTCAACCTGCAGGAACTCCCAGTGGCCACAGGTAGAACAATTTGAGCAACAAAATTAACGACAATAGTATTGGATTGTAATCTAGAGATTTGCTGAACCCATAATTGTTGAATAAATATGCGAATGAGGGAGAAGGGAAAGCCCTTCCTTACTGAAGAATTCCAATTAATAAGCGTAGAAGAGATGTGGGAAATAGAAAGTCACCATTAAAGCAGGTACCACGGTAATAACTGTCACAGGCAAGATCCAGGAATGGATGCTCAAATCAGAGGGTCGGACAGCCTTGCTCCCATCACCCTTTCACAGATCAGGGAAGAAAGGCTGCCTGTAGGCTCTGACATCTGACCTGAGAGCATTTCCCTGTAAACTTAACGCGTCACTCCTCCGTTCAGAACGTCACTGCCCTCCTAGCACCTTAGAAAAGCCCACAGCCCCTATCACAGCATCATGCAGCTCTGGGGGGCTTGTTCAATTTCATGCCTACCTACTCCCTGTGCTCCGGCTACACTGGCCTCCTAGCACCTCCTCCAGCCCATCAGGCACAGTCCTGCCTCAGGACCTTTGCGGCCTGCGGTTCCCTCTGCCTGGAGTGCCCTTCTCCCAGGGGTCAGCATGGCTCACTCCCCCACTGTATTTAGGTCTCCTTAACCAGGGCACTGTCTACAGTGGAAACTTCGACTCCCACATCCAGCACTCTAACCCTTACTCTGCTTCTTTTTTTCCTTCATAGGAGGGAGGTCACCGGCTTTGTGTTCTGCTGATTGACTGATGAAATCACACTCACTTGAATACTTTCATGACCACTCTCATAGGAGCTGCATTACACAGTGCCCACCATGGGTACCTAATACCTGCCGAATATACAAATGAGCCTATAAAAGGAGAGAGTGGGGCTGGGTAATCATTCACTGAATGCTCAGTATGGGCTGAGCATTGTGCCCTGTGTTTCACAGCGATCATCTCATTTACTGCTCACAAAAACCCATTTTACAGGTAAGAAAACTGAGGTCCAGAAGTGAAGGAGCCTGACACTGCTGATTAACAGAGTTGGGGCTCAAACCTGACTCGCTCAATCTACTGCCTCCTTAGATAATTCTAAGGCCCAGTTTAGCTCCAAAGGACTAGACTTTAAGAGAAAGAAGAAGAGAATACGAATAATTACAAATGAATTAGCTGCCATTCAATTAAGCAGCTCTTTGGCCCTGGCCCTGCACCCTCCGCAGGAATCACTAACGAGACTTCCAGCCCTGTCAGTGATGCTCAGTTGCTGTCTCTGTCTGGGCGCCTGTCCTGTTATGATTTACATCTGCACCGGCAGATGCCTGCTCAGGCAACCGCGAGGCAGATCACAGGCAGCCAGCCGAGCGCCTGGCAGAGGCTCAGAGAGGAGCCGGCTGCCGACCGCAGCTGTCGGCTGCTCCCTGCCTGCACACCCAGCTGTGGGGCTCGGGCAAGGACGCGGGGGTCCTGGACAAAGTCTGATTATCCCCAGCTCGCCCCCATTTCCACGAAGGGGAGATTTCAGCATGAAATTCAGCAGCCCCTGGCAGAAGGTGGAAGACTCCACGTCTAAAACCACCCTGACAAAGGCAGCGTGAGTCTGTTTCACCGGACACTGGGATCCATCACTCTTCCAGGACCTACCTGCTCCATAAACTTTTCAAAGCTGCAGCTTCACCTGCAGCAAGACAGGGCTCAGGGCTCTCGGAGGGGGTGGTATTTCCTGATCCGAGTCCTCCCTCTCCTCAGAGCCTGGTTGTCACGGTTCTGGATTTCACGGGTCAGTAAAATAAGGCATTTTTTGAAACTAGATGGAAGTGGAGGAAGGACTAACACAATTGCCAAGTTTCTTTCTTTCTTTTTTTAACCAGGAAGGACATAAATAAATTAGCAATCACCTCTACTCACTATCACCCTCAATGAAAAGCTGCTTTATCATCCAAAACGCAGGAAGGACATTGTCTGTGGAACAGTATTTGGGAATCATGTCAGAACGAGAGGAGAACCAAAGACATCCTGTGTCACCAGGTTGTGACACCCTCAGAACAAAGACCTGCTCTTTGCAGAACATCTGGAGCACAGCCGGTAGTCCACACGGCTTCACTCAGTAACTAATTCTCACATTTCACAGATGAGAAAACTGAGGTCCAAGGAGGCAGTTTGGGACTTGCCCAAAGCCACATGGTTAATTTAGGATCAGACTGGTCTGGAATCCAGTTCTCATGTCCCTGCGTCAACATTCTTTCAACTACACTATGCTTTATGCAGGGTGCTGTAGGGCCATAACCTGCCAAACCTTTCATCAGGGATCAGACTCAGGAGAGACCCCAAGGAAAGGGCTCAGGACACTGAAAGTCCCGCTTCCACACGGCCAGAACTTCTCAAGCCTTGGATATAAATGCTTTTCATCAGGCATCATGTCTATGCTTCCCAGTTTGCCCAGGAAGGGCTCAGGGATGCCCACTGGTCCTGGAGGATGATGGATACTGCAGCCTGGGCTGCTGTCGATGGCCGCTGGCCCAGAGTCTCCCACATAGTAAGGACACAAAAGAGTCAGGCAGGGGTTGCAATGTCAGAGCCTCTCTGTTCAGCCAGACCTCAGCTCATCAGACCTGCAGCATCTCTCAGGCTGTGGCTACAGCTCCAGCCACAGCTGTGGGTATTCGGACTTCTGTGGTTGCCCAAATGAGCCACAGCAGCCACCTCCACCTTCTGCTCGCCTCAGATTCCTGCTCCAGGATCCTGCCAGTGTATGCCCGAAACACCCCACAGAGCCAAAAGCAGGAGCCTTCGGCTCTTCTGAAAAATTAGCATCCTGCTTTATAAACTCAAGACAGCTCACTGTGAAAAAAATTCAAACAATGAGAAACACAAAGGCAATGCAAAAATTACCCCAAATTGCTGCCACCCAGAGAAATCCACTGTGGCTACTTTGGTAAACAAGCCTCCAGAAGCATGGTCTCTCAAACCCCCGTGTGCAAATGGACAGCCCCAGGACCTCATTAAAATGCAGCAGGTCTGGCCTGCAGCCTGGGACTCTGCATTCCTAACCCGCTCCCAGGGGATGTCCATGCTGCTGCTTCCAAGCACTTTATTTCCAAGTAGGAAAGGACCATCATCTTGTTTGTTGCTCCACCTCCAATGGCCCCAAAAAGTGCCTGGCACACAGATGACTCAATAATTACTGCCTGAATTAATCCATAGAAACCTAAGCATACAGTTTTGCTTCAATGCACCCATAAGATACTATGCTATTCTGAAACCTGCTTTTGTCACTTAATATATTGTGACATCTCTTCATGTTGATGACCTCAGGTCCACACCATCACTTTTAATGGCTAAAGGTAATTTTACTGCATCTTTTGTACCCATAAGTCCCATTACTGATGGATATTTGGGGTGTTTTCAGTAAACAGTGCACATTCCAGATGCATGTATTACTTTCCCCACTTGTACAATGTCTCTTTAAGGCATAACCACTAGGTCAAAGGATACGTATATTTCATATTCGGGCATCCTTTTGATCATCAACTGCCTCCTCCCTGAGGAACTGGTACTGTCTTCTGGCCACAGACGGCTACAGGAAACACCTTCAGCTCAGGACCGTCCAAGGAGGGCTGATTCTCCCCTGCTGGCAGTGCTATTCCCAGAGGCGCACAGGCTGAGAACACCCCAAGGTTCCCCGGTGTGTGTGTTATGTTGGTCCTTCACTGCTGCCGGTGCGCTATTATTCTCCATCTATCTCTGTCTCTCTTCATTTTAACATCTGGGTATTTCATTACTCTGCAAAGTAGGGGACATTCCTGTGCAGTCAAGGAAACCATGACTCTTCCTTTTTATCTCTTCAAATTGGCACTGGGCGCAGAGCATCCATCTTTGCTGGAACTGGTTTCCCTGGGTTACACTAATCTCAGGCTAATGCAAAGTGTCCCTCCTTCCAGGAGCTGCTCCTTGAGCTGACTTTTCCAGGCTGCACTCTCCCCCTGTCTGAGGGCCCCAACAAAGGACAGCTTCTCGTTCCAAGGGCTGTCACGTTTGTCAGTATTCCTCCAGAATTTCTCACCTTGTAAAAGCAGTTTCATGAAGAGTGGGTCAGCAATCCACCTAGTGATCGTCAGGGATGCTTGTGAAAATGCAGATTCCTGGGCCCCTCCTCTAGAGAAATCTGCATTTTTATTAAGCCTACAGTGAATTCCAATGGATACTCAAATGTGAACACCCTTTTTGCACAGATTCTACCTATGTCTATGCCCAGAGAGCAAATGACCTCATCACTCCTCTCTCTTCCCAACGTTGCCACTGCACAGACCAGTGGCCCCTCCAAGAATTCTGGCTACAGGGCCAGTGTGGGTCTGCTCTGACCACTGCTCCCTCGAGTCAAGTTTAACACTCACATCCCAGATGGTGTAATTACCATGCAAAGAATACCCACAAGGAAACCACAAACCTCTTTGTGCTCTTGCCCCATTTCAATAGTTTCTCTCTTCTTCCCCTGTTCAAATGCCAGATACAAAAATAACTCTGCTTTCCACAAAAAGCTGTGGACTCACATTCAGATGGTTGCTGTTCTAGCAAACAGGCCCTTTTAGAACTTAAAAACTCTTAACCGGATCTGTCCACTTTTTAAGGATTTACACTGTACCTGTGCACAATACGAAACAGGATTAAAGCGGCCAACATTTTTTTTTTTTGCTGCCGTCTCCTGGCAAAGAACAAAATATTTCTGAGCATCCTACTCTCTGTCAGGCACTGAGAAAGTGCTCCCTAACTCACAAAGAGGATACAGACAGGTAACTGAGCCTCTGCGTGCAGTGCCACGAGTGCTCAGGTGGGGGAGCTAGAGGACACCTAATCTCAAATTGGGGAGGAGGTTGATGTCAGAAAAGCCTTCTCAGAGGAAAGTCAGCCTCCGTGGAGACCCCTCATTCCACTAATACTAACTCACAAACTGTGTCATACTTCAAAGAATGAGGATACACCAAAGAAGTTGGCTACACCACGGATGAGTGCTCAGCGCTGGTGGGACTGTGGAGAGAAGACGGTTCCCAGAAGCGGGAATAGCATGTGCAAAGGCCTGGAGGCAGGAACGATGTGGTAAGGGAAGACATGAAAGGCGGTCAATTTGAACTTGCTTCCCATATCAGTAAGAGTACCCAGTATCTTTTCTTTAATTAAAACAACTAAAACCCCTATTTCCCCTAAGAAATGTGCTATAAGCTAGATGTCATTCCGCTCACGCTAAAGATGTGCAAATTGTAAGAGCTACGCTAAAGCATAAATCAGGGGGGAAAATCAAATTATAAAATTCACAGAATTGGAATCAACACACACACACACACACCCCCAGTGTGAAAACCCACACACAGCCACTGCTGGCTAAAAACTTTGCAAAAAGCGATGGATCTGAAGTCGCTACTATATTCAGTCCCCTGGTTCACTTTGTAAAAGTCAAACTATGGTTCCTTTTAAAAGTCAAAAATGACTTCATGGTGGAGGGCAAGAAAGCAAAACAGCCTTATAAAAATAACAGACTTTTAAAAAGCAATATATCTCTGGATTGTCTAAGAAGTCTGGGAGGGAGAGAAACCTTTCACATGGTCCAAAAGCAGATGATAAACAGCCCAGCAAGCCAAATCCAGGCCTGGAATCCAAGCCTTTGCAAACTCATTATTGCTTGAGCAAAAAAAAAAAGGCCTTTGCCATCCAGCAGCTCAACTCCACACGGCTACTGCAGAGGACTCCACTGTTTTATTGATCAGATATCACAATGTATTATTTCTTCTTAAAATGTCATCTTGTGTTCGAGAGATACACACTGGTGGTAGGGAGAGCAGAAGACCACAAGGTAAGAGGAATATGAATAGAGACAGAAGGCATCTAGTTGAAACAGCTCTGCGAGAAAATTCTTTATAAACATCTCCCCTTTTATAACAAGAATAGGAAGTCTGTAGCCTTGGGGCTAAGAGGGGAGGAGGGCTTAGGGTAGAGAGAGTCTGAATTTCTATCCCCGGTTCTGCCACATAATAGCTGAGTCACTTCACCTCCACTGGCCTCAGGATCCCCATCGGTAAAGGGGGCACAGGAGAGCACAGACCTCAGTATAAGCTGCTGCGTGTAAGGAATAGGGCGTAATGCTTGACACCTAGTAGGGATCTGATAATAGCCTCCCTGCCCTAACACGGCTCAGGGCTCCACAGACGGCTTGTCCTCCCGTACACGGATGGCCCTGAGAAAAACCAGGTGGAAATCAATGGAACGTTTACCTCAGCTAAGGCCTTACTCTTTCAGGTACTGGTTCCATTAACATCAGTGCTCAGAGTCTCTCTATGGTACATGTCGGACCACGCGTTAGGGTTGCAAAGAGAATCAAACACAACTTCTGCCAGCAAGGAGCCCCTCGCTAAGGAACCCCTGGCCCGGAAGAGCGGGAGAAAAGGACAGTAAACAGGTAACTGCCACGAGATGCAGTAAGAGCTATGTATAAGTTTCTTACAAACACCTGCCTTTCACCACCGTCTTATACTTAATGTGGAGCTGTACGTCAGCCTGCCAGGGTTCAAATACTGAACCAAGTGCTTTGGGACCACTTACTAGCCATGTGATGCACTGAAAGTCATCTCACCTCTCTGTGTCTCCGTGTCTGTATTAGCAAATGGTGATACGAACAGTACCTCCCTCACTGAGATGCTGTGGGGATTAAATGAGATAAGATAATAATTGCTTAGAGCTTTCTCTGGAAAATACTATTAGGTATGAGAGTTCATGCTGTATTAGCTGCTATGGTATACGTTACATATTAGCTATTACTACATGATATTACACTATAAAATAGAGTAGGTAGTATTTAGTGTTATACAGTATTATACAGTATTATCACACAGTATTAGCTATTATTATTATAGTTATTAGTTATTACTATTATTTTCAGTTTCTACCCAGCAATGGATGCTTAATCAATATGTCAGGGAATGCATACACATGCTACATATAAAATAGATTAAACAACAAGGGCCTACTGTATACCTTGTAATAACCTATAAAAGAATCTGAAACAGATATATATATATGTACATGTATATATATATATATATATAAAACTGAATCACTTTGCTGTACACCTGAAACCCTGTAAATCAACTATATTCAACAAATAAAAATATGTGGGGGATGGGCAGACTGCAAGACGAACTTCAGAAAGAGAGCACGGCTCAGGCACAGGCAGCCTGGGGACGAGGGAGCATAGCACACAAGGCAGTGCTATTCCATTTGGAGATAAAGAGAAGGAGCGTGTAGGTGAAGAACAAGGGTGGGGGCATTCCAGGCAAAACGAATGACCTGAACGGTGACAGGGTGTGGTTTATACGGAGACCCGGAGGAGTCAGAGAGCATTCAGAATACAGAACGTGGCAGGAGGTGAGGTTGCAAGAGATGCAGGCAGGAGTCTGGACACTTATCCTGTGAACCAGCAGCATCTTCATGAAAAGTGATGTGTCGGGGTTTTTTTTGTATGAGGGGGTGGTAATTAGGTTTACTTATTTATTCTTTTTTTTTTTTCTAATGGAGGTACTGGGGATTGAACCCGAGACCTCACACATGCCAGGCATGCACTCGACCACTGAGCTATACACTCCCTCTCCAGGTTTGTTTTTTATAAAGATAACTTTTATGGACTCACAAGGATATTATGGGGCTCTGTAAGTCAAGGAAATGTCCCCCTCACTCCCCCAAAGCCCCGAGGGACCTGAAGTGAGCCAAGTCCATAATATTCTTTGGGTTTTTAGGGAAAAACACACTATAAGCGATCTGGGAATTCAAAGTGCCTGCCACTGCCCTTTAAAATAATTTTATTATTAAGAATGACAGGGAAAAAAGGCAAAACAGGTTAGCATGTGTGGGATTAGGACATTATTTTAGAAACTAAAGGTTTTTTCAGGTGACTTACTTTGGCTATTTATAACGCACATACATAAGTGCATGCAGGTACATTTGTGTGCACACGTATGAATGAAATGAAAATTCCAGAGAGTCTACAAGCGGAAACCAAGACATTCCCAACTGATTCTTCTAGAGACAAATCTTGAGAGGAAAAAAAAAGCTCTAAGACGATAATAAATAAATGCAGGTCAGATAACTTAGCTTCTGGAGGCTTTCTACTGCTTGGAGGAAAAACTTCCTGAGAGTGGATCAGGGTCCCTGGGATTAAGAGCAGATGTGGGAGCAGACATAGATGGAACAGAAAGGTTTCCACCTTAAAAAGAATACTTCAAAAAAGGCATCCTCCGGCTCCGTGAGAGGTGATAGATAGCAAGGGACAATTCCTAAGACTCGAGAAGAGAAAGTAAAAAAAAAGAGAGAAAAAGTGGGAGAGATGTAAGAATCAAAGATAGTTTTCAGGTTTGAATAAAAACAAAAAGAATTCATGCTAGATCACCTTCCATCTTGCAGGACAAGGAGTGTCATCTTTGCCAAAAGGTTTTACTTTTCAAAGCCTTCACCCTCGCCCGCCCCTCTGGGCCCCTGATAAACTTGGAGGTTTCCTTCTTAAAACACCCGAATTTCTGTGCATACCCTTTAACTTCAGACTTGTGAAGAGGAAGCTCATGTCTGACTAGCTTCTGAGAAGTGTCTCCAACAGTCCCTCTCACCTGGCCCTCCCCGCACATCCACACCCACAGAGGAACCTGGGAGCTCAGAGTCTGACTCCATTGTTACTACAATGCCGGCAAAGAGCACCAGACAAAGGCCTGTGATGTAAGGATTAAACGTGGTGATACCTGCAGACAACAGGACTTCCACTCCGAAACCCAATCCTCTGTTGGGTGATGTCAACAGAGCACAGACAGGGAGGGAGGGAGGCAGCCTCTGGCTGCTCTGACAGGCTGAGCAAGAGAACATTCTCGTCTGCCGTGAGGTAACTGGAAAACAATCGTTTCCAAAAAAACAGTACTTAACCCACCACAAATCCTGCTCCAGGAAAGGTCTTCCCTGAGGCATCCAGAGGTTTCTCTGACGCTTTCAGCTCCAGTCACAGGACTCACATAATCCCACAGATATCACCTCTTGGTAGCTGTGGGCTGACTTTAAAGGCAAAACATCAATTTTCAGCTTCTAATTTATCCTCTAAGAGCAGAGACACTCAAACCTGACTGCACATTTGAACAACCTAGGAGAGTCTTTAAAAAAAAAAAAACCTACCCCAAATCAGGGGAGCTGGAGTGACTATATTAATATCAGACAAATAAATAGAATTTAAGACAAAACATGTTCCTAAAGACAAAGAAATGGTCAAACCATCAGGAAGACGTAATATATGCACCTAAAAGCAGCTGCAAAACACACGAAGCAACAACTGACAGAATTGAAAGGAGAAACAGACGTGAAATGGTAGGAGTTGGAGACTCAATACCCTACTTTCAATAATGGACCAAGGAAGGAACCAGCAAGGAACCAGGAGGCACGAAGGACACTGAATAAACCCACCAGACCTCAGACGTCCACACAACTCTCCAGCCAGCAACAGGGAATGCACTTTTCAGGTGCACACGAAACATCCTCCAGGGAATCCCAAATGTGAGGCCAAAGAACACACCTCGGTACATTTAAGAGGAGTGAGACCACACCACGCGTGTCCTCCAATCACCGTGGAATGAAATCAGAAATCAATAACAGAAGGTTTCTTTGAAGGGGGGTGATGAGAATGTTCTAAAATTAGATATTGGCCATGAGGGGCATAGCGCTCTGAATACAAGTACATAAAGAAGCAAAACTTCCTAACAACTCCTGAAATCTAGGAGGATTGGCGACGGCAGAGATGGAAGAGTTGCTTTTTTCCAAGGAGGTACTAAATTGGCTCAATTCCTCCCCAGTTCTTCCGGTTTGCTCCCCAGGCAATGTATGGCAACACCGGTAGGTGGGGGGTGGTACTACAGGCGTCTAGCGGGCAGACCAGGGGTGCTGCTACACGCACGGGACAGCCCTCCCCGCAACAAACAATAAAGAACTGTCTAGGCCAAAATGCCAATGCTTTTGAGGTGGAAGAACCCTGTACTAGGGAAAGGTCAATACTCTTGAATTTTTGCCTCTTCTAATTTAAAGAAAGAAACAACCCTGTGTTAATGGCAAAGGATAAAGGATCCGGAATCAGACTGACCTGGGTCCACATCTTGGTTCCACTCCTTCCCAGAACTGTGACCTTGGGCGTTACCTAACTAGCCTGGGCTTTAACTCTCTCATCTGTAAAATGGGATGATGAAATGACCTTACGATGTGGTTCTGAGGATTAAATGAGAAGCTGTGGGGCACCAGTAAGGCTAAGAGCCTTCATTACTATAATTATTGTTTTTGTTAGTTAAAGCCCCAAAGTGGCTTAGTACCAAGAAATGAGTGACTGGGTCATTTTAAAATAGGGTTATTTTCTCCAGCAACAATTAGTATGTAAACTGGGCCATTTATGAGCTAATAAGCAACTGAGACATAACAGTTGACATTCCTCACTACTACAGTACACTCTAGCCAGAGCAGGACTGGCTAAATACCCCGTTGCCATGGTAATAAAAAGTTCCTGGGAGCCTGACTCATTTTCTTTCCAGTAAATGCTTTCTATTTGTCCGCCTAGACTTTATACATAAGCCCACTGCACGGTGGTGGAGTCTTTCCCACCTACTAGACCTAGTATCTTTCTGCTGCTCAAAAACCCATTTTACTATAGTGGAAATAGTCACCCCAAACAGGACAAGATGACCACCTGTCATTTGCCGTGGGTCTCTGTAATGGAGCCCCCTGGTTAGTAGAGGATAGGAGTGATCTGACAAGACATATTCAACCATCCGGTGCCTTCCAACGCCTCTGCTGGGCCAGGTACTAGCACGAGATTCCCTCACACTCACTATAAGTGAGGGAAGTAAATAAGAAAAAACAGGAAATGTTCACTATGTGCACTTGGGCTTTTGTGGACTTTACTCAATCTTCACTCCACCAAAACTCAGGGAGGCAGGAATGATTCCCAACATTGTACAGAGAACACGGAGAATCAGAGAGATTAAGTAACTTGCCCAAGGACATGCTTTCCATATACATTTGTCTGTTTCTGCTCCATCTCAATTCTTAAACTGAGTTGGCTTAGGAAAAGAAATCAAAATGAAGAAAACAGGATGTTATGGGCGAAAGCAAAAGAAAAGAAGGTAGTAGATAGAACGTGTTCCATAAAGTATGACACGATTCTGAGCAACAGGGCTCAAATGTTAGTATGAGTTTCCTGGTGGCCAAAACAATGAAGGAAACATGATTGGTGGTGAGTATGGAGAGAAGGGTCCAGAACATTAAAAGCTGACCATTTATGAGATGAGATTTGGGGGTACTCTCTCCTCATAACCCCGACATAAGTAAGTCACAAAATGAGAGAGAGTCACAAAATCTGAAGCCAGATTAGACTAAATCCCAATCCTGCAAAGACTGCCCTCTGTAGCAAGCCCAGGAAGAAGGGGTGTGAATGTATCACCTGTATTACACATCACTCAACAAGCAGTGTGGTGGAGTACTGAGGAGTGATTAAGATTCTGGAGTCAAACTCCTTAAGTTCAAATCTCAGCTCTGCCACTTCCTAGACACGTGATCTTCAACAAGTTATATAACTTCTGGTGCCTCAGTTTCCTCATCTGTAAAATGGACATGATGTGCGGATTCAGCGT